CCGGTGCCTCCACGAGATCGGCTATTCTAGGGTTTTGCGCGGCGGCGGCCGCCGAGGATCCTGAGGTAGAGATCGCATGGGAAATTTCTAACGGCTCTGCCGATTTAATGCAGACGATCAGGTTCAGTCACGCGTCGAGAAAAACCGTTAACGCTAAGAAGACGCCATTGACGGTTCTCCGTGGAGCTCTTCCCCTTCCTGGACCACAACTAGGCAACTCCGGCTTCCCACAAGAGGCTTATTTCGAAGTCACACTCCTGGAAAATCTCGGCGGTGAACTCACCGGCGGTGGCGGAGGTGATGACGTGGCATCGATGGAAAGCGAAAAGACAAAGATGTTCAAAGACGAGGGACAAAACCTCGTGAGAAGCGGAGACTGGATTGACGAGAAGGAAGAAGAAGCCGTACTGTCTCTGGGTCTGGCCGCCGGAGGTTCCGCCGTCGGCGACAGTAAGCTGCCGGGAAGTTTCGCTGGTTCAATTGGGTTTCACTCGAACGGCTCAGTATATCTCGATGGTATGTGAAACAATCACTTATTTTTTTCTTTCAACTCTTGCGTGATTCCGACGACCAAACATCTCATTCCGAATGATTTGCAAATCGAAAATTTTCCCGAGAAAAATGTGTGGAAACAAAAGTCAGAATCAGAATGAGAATGTCTCGTCAGAGGTGTTGGAAAAAAGTCAAAAAAAAAAAAAAACAGGACAGAAGTGGCGACCCACTGACGAATATGATGTCCTCGTCACAAACCTTTCACGACCACCAAACATCGAATAAGCCATCCGTCAAAACATGTCTCTCTCCACTCCATTGTTCTACACTAACCAACCTTAAGCTTCATCTCTTTTCTTTAATGGCGGCAGGGATGAAACTGGTGTCCGCATCGGAGAAGCACGCGTGGGGGAAGACGAACAAGGTGGTGGGTTGTGGTTACGATCCGAGGAAGAAAAAGGTTTACTTCACCATTGATTCTCACTTGGTTCACCTCATAAACTGCAAAGCCGACGAGTTCGAAGGTCCCCTCTACCCGACAATGGCTTCCAACACAGAAGCCATGGTTATTGCCAATTTCGGACAATCCCCGTTTGCTTATGGCGCGGCCAATGCTCAACGAACGCCAAACCCATGCTTCGTCGGCGCCATGGTCCGTCCTTCTGCAGCCACAGCTGCGTTTGAAGAAAGCAAAGAACTTTTCTCAATTGGGAGGATAGATTCTCAGTACCTTAGCAATATTTTCGTTAGTAGAGGAAAAAGTGAAGAGGATACGAGCGGGAGGATCACCATTGGCGACGATAGCCGTAGACGAAGGCTTGATTTCGATGAAGAATCCGATGCTGATCTTTTCGAGATCGTCATTGAACGTTCGGGGAGACAAAATATTGCAAGATCGTAGCTTTTTCACGCTAAAAAAAGAGATTCTTTCTTCTTTCCTTCACAACTGTTTCTCCTTTCCTTAGCTGACTATAATCTGAAAGCTCATCAGTTTAAGCACATGCACTGATGGATAACTTTGAGAGAACCAGAGAGGAATTGTTCATATTCTCCTCCTGTAAATTTGCCCTTTGGAACGATGGTATCGTATATTTCTTGGGGGAAAAAAGGTGTCCCAATTTTTTGTATCCAATCAAACATTTATGAATTTAATATATATATAATGTTATGCGTTTAGAGCAGAAGGCAAAGGTTGTTCCATTCCATTACACAAACTTAAAAAGAGTGGCAAATTCTCCAAGTCTGTTAACAAGGAGAGCAAGAGAATCCGGAATTGAAATCAGAGAAACAATAACAGGGGCGAATGTCATATAATCGGAGGGTACTGTTTCGCCTGTTGTTTCACCCTTTTTCTATATTCTTCCCTGTCCTGCAAGCCGCACCAGAAGGAAAGCCGAAATTGTTCAGAACGATTCCCAAAAATACCCATTTCCGGATTCAAAAGAAGAACAAAAAGATAACCCTAATCATACGACTACAAGCATGAAGTAGTTAACAAGGTTGTAAGAAGCCTACCGACTTCGCTCCTACTCAGTTTCGATATCGGGTATTGGAGTTCACTAATCAGAAAAAGCTAGGGGTCAAACACAAACCTGCACATACAGCTGGTATCCATCGGTCTGTGCAGGGTCGTTGGGGTTCGGTTCATCGAGTAAATCCTGAATACCAACCAAGATCTGCTTCACTGTGATAGCCGGCCTCCAGCCCTGGGGGAGGTGAGTCATGTTCTTAGCTTTTGTCTGATCCAATATTCAACTATTGAAAGGAAAAAAGTTCAAGTTTCCTACATAATCCTCGTTGAGGATTGATAGGCAAACTGTCCCAGACGGGTAGACATTCGGATGGAAGAAACCTGGAGGAAACTTGCACTTTGGAGGCTTGCTTGGATAATCTTCAGAGAAATGGAGGGTAAGTGGATAGAAGCCACCTTCCCAGTCAGTCTGCAAATATCCATACAAACGTAATGACATCAAGCAGGTAATCTTGTAGATTCTTACAGTTTGAAGATACATACACAAGATTCACTTTCCGAGGAATACACAAAATTCAGCAGACGATAAAATGGCAAAACACCATAAACACAACCCATCTGTCCCACACAAAAGAAATCGAAGATACAGCAGCACCAATGCCATGGAATAACAAACAGGAATGAACCTAAAATCATTCACACCCTCTGTGCCTCGCTACGACATTACCCTTTCGATTCTCGCAATACCATCATCAACAGCCTCAGCAGTAATATTACAGGTATATTCTTCTTAGCTACACAAGAACAATAACTCCGAAATCCAAGAAACCACCAAGTTTTCATGTTCAAGTTTCGATCAAGTAAACACCTCTAGTATCCATTCCATGACTAATGTGATTATTTTAGCAATTCCACGACAAGAATTAATCAAGATAGAGTACCCAAATTCTATAGCCCTACTGAAATACTTCCACGTTTATGCTCAAAGGGTTAATCTTGTAGACAATCATATATGCAAACTACAAGGTCGGTGAAAATTGAGGTAAAACCTTGACCAAACACGATATCACACACACAATTTACGAAAAACACAGAGAGATTGAAGAAACGAACCCTAAACCCACAAAATCGAACAACCCCATCAACGAACAAGGCCCAACCCAAGGGTTCAAATTAATCAGAAAGAGGGAGGAAATCAACGAGCCTTACGCCAGATTTCCCGGGGATAATGCACTGCCAAACCATCAAATTGTTCGTTCCATCGGGCAAAGTCTCCGGCTTAGCGACAAAACCCTAAGAAACAGGGGAGAAATTCACGAACAATAACAGAGAATTTCCGGGGAAAGAGACATGGGAGAAGAGCGATAAACATACGTGGGGATGGTTCTTACGCCAGGATTTGCGTTCCTCGGCCAGTCGACCACGCGCGATTCCACCCGACATGACTTCAGACTTTGTGTCTTCTTCTTCTTCGATCACTCACACTGGCTTTGGATGTTTCCCTGTCGCTGGCGGCGAGTTGTTTCTTTCCCGATATATACATATATGTATATATGTTTTTGGTTGTTTTTATTTATTTTTTTTAGAAAGGAATTTTAATTTTACACGATTGCGGCTGCTTCACGCAACCCTCGGTCTCGTCTCTCACTTTGATTAATTAAAATATAATATAGAACACAAAATAACTAAACTATTCCATAAATATCAAATTAAACAATTAATTTGGTTAACGGAAATACAAACATGACATAAAAAATTTAAGTTATGTTTGCACTTTCGTCTTCTATGTCAAAACTTCTATAGACACATCTCGATTGTTTAATTTTACACTGATCGAATAGTTTAGATAGTATTTTGAACAATTTAAAAAGTTTGATATTTTTTCTTAAAAAAATATTCCGTTTTTGTTTTATCAAAATTGAAAAGTACAGTAATTTTTTACTTTCCATATTTTTTCATACATTTTTTCATTTTAGAAAGATTAGTTAAATAAGTTCCATTCGAAATTTAAATAGTATTATTCGAAAATGATATTTTCGATTTTATAAAAATTATACCAAAAATTGATCCGATTCCATTTTAATATTGATTCGGTTTGAAATAGTATCATTATATAAATACAGAATATATATAAAACTATAATATGTACACATATATTGGTGGATAATTTAGATTTTGATTCGCTATTTAATAGATTCATTTCTAGGGTATCAATAAAATCCGAAACATGACATCCGACCCGAATCTGTCCAAAAAAATTAAAAATTTAGACCTAATAATATAGACCCGATAAATAAATAGATGGATCGGTCTCATTCGAAAAAATATAGACCCAAATTGAATTCGGTCCAAAATCCGTCCGATCCACCCATTTATCTCGAAAATATTCGAGATTTCACATTACACGATATTAAATAAAGTATCTTATTTATCTTATATATATATATATATATATATTATTTTTTCTATTAACACGATAAAATGAAGAAGAATATTATAAAGGGTAAAACTCCTAAAAAACCTTCAACTTGCAAAAATATATACAAATAAACCTTCAACTTGAAAAA